AAATGGGTCAAGTCAATCACATCATTCTCTAATGATGTGATGTCGTTAATCAAATGACAACTCATGTCTATGGCTAGGAACTTAACCATCTTTGATTCAATGAGCTAGTCAAGTAGAGGCATACTAGTGACACTCTGTTTGTCTATGTATTCACACATGTATCAAGTTTTCGGTTAATACAATTCTAACATGAATAATAAACATTTATCATGAAATAAGGAAATAAATAATAACTTTATTATTGCCTCTAGGGCATATTTCCTTCAGGATGATATATCCTCATATCTCATCAATAGTTATAAATCGTTGAGATAATAGCACATCATGAAAAAACTAAAGAAGGAAAAACCATCAATACATCTCTTCAGATGCTAAGTATAATTAGAATATACATGATAAACTTTATGAATTAAGTGACGTATATAGTGAATATTGTGATAAAATACTAACATGGTTCCTCTAATGATAAGTGGGTAGCTAAACTTTTCGGGGGAGGAAACTACCTTAGATGACGCCACTCCGAACCGTGATACACTCGATAAAGCATTGCTATGCACGATGAAACTATATCTATTGCTACTATTGATGATGATTACGATATTTCTATTATTTGTTTACCCTTGAAACCATTGGGGTGTACATTTATATTTGTTATATAATAATCAGAAGTTTGGAATTACAAAAGGACTGTGCTAACGACCAGTCGACTGGTCGTTAGCGACAGATCCGCACGACTAGTTCGTAGGTGATCGCTATCTTCCCACTGATTTTTTACCTTCTCTCAAAAACCGTGATAAATCGCTAGCGGTTTTTTTTGGTTTTTCACCGTATAATATGAAAATAAAATAAAAGTGCTTGAAAGAGGATTCGAACCTAGGTCTATGCAATATGTATTGAGCCTAATAACCAACTAAGCCACCTTTTGTTGTTGTCTATTGTAGATAAACAATGTTATTTGAACCTTTCTTATTTCTGCCATATCAAAAAAATAAATAAGTTTGGCTTGGTAACTTTGGCATGACCAACGTGATAACTATGGTATGAGCAACATGATAACTATACCATGACAAGGCTGATAACTATAGTACGAGAAGGTTAAGGCATGAGGAAGTATGGTAATTTAACACATAAATTACGGATGGAAATGTTTAAAAAACTTTTTCCCCTTGGATGAAGATATCATGGTGTTTAAAACGTAAGATATTAGTTACCAAATCTGTGATGTATACATTATCATGCTTTTTACTTAGAAATTACCCGGTGTATATTTGTCAACAAAAAAAAATTCAGGTCAAAAATTATAATGGCTTTTGTATGTGAGTTATCAACTTAGTATGTGTCTATTA